CAGATCCTTCATTGGATGTGAGTTGAATACTTCTGGTTCGCCAACTGGTTGCCCAAAAATCTTCTGTTTTCTGCGGTCCAATGCCTCACATTGGCACAGTATAATATGTGCTACTGTTTTTGGTCCTTGCCACATAGTCTGCAGCTTGAGTCGCCATTATACAGTCCTATTCTGGCGAGATGCTCCTTCACTGGCTCATGGCAAATCATGAGTCCCGTAACATTATTTATCTGTGCTCTGTTCAAGTTGAGCGGGTCTACAGTTCGTTAATGACTTATTGGTTCCTTAATGTATTGTTTCTCATGTCTGTTTCTTGGGATGATTTCCCAGTAGCTCTTATTTATCCTGATATAAATGTCTTCAATATCAATAATACACTGTGGATTAAGTTCCAGAGTAATTGTTCCTTCAATAGGTTTATTGTCCTTTTTTTGATCCACACTCCTGTTTAACAAGTCTAGTTCTTGGTGAAACTACAATCTACTCATTATCTTCAAGTTTCTGCAGTTTCATTGACTTATTGTCAACAAGAATCGGTTGGCAGCTCGTGATGTTCTTTGAGTATCTCAGCATTTGAATTTCGCATGGGGCATCTTCTTTCATTTTGACAGGGCTTGATTAATAATAATAATAATAATAATAATAATAATATGTCTTTATTCATCATCATCATTTCACAACTGGTAGAGAAAAAAACAAATAGATGAAAGGGCGGGGTTCAGCTATAAGAAGCTGCTTTTAAACCCAACCGGTAGAATGCTATAAATATAATTAATAATAAACTAAATTACAGAATTTTCAAAATGAATTTATGATTAAGAATTGTACATAGGTTATCGGAATAATTACCAGAAAATTAGTATAAATGTACAAGTGGACAGTACAGTTTAATGCACTGAATAAGATAGTTACAACCAGATAAAAAATCACGCCGTCATAAAAAAGGAAAATCTACTGCCGCCCAGAGAAAAACAATTTCAGCCGTTTCTTAAAATTATTCAAAGTGAATTCCTTGAATTCAACAGGGATGGTATTGTAGAGCATAGCAGCATTATAGGAAAAGCTTCGGGTGAAAATTGACTTGGTATGTCTAGGAATAAGTAGCAAATGCTTGTTGCGCGAAGACTTTTTAAGTGATAGTTTAGAAAGTTCATTACGTAAATATGGCGGTGAACCAGATGTCAAAATTTTGTGGGTGAAAGTGAGTAGGTGTATTTCCCTCGTGTGTTTCAGTTTCAGCCATCCAGAGTCTAAAAGGCATCACTAATGTGTTCATATTTGCGGATACCATATGAAAATTCGTGCTATAAAAACTGTTCAGCTGAGACTTCCTGACATTTTTGATCGAAGATGATGTTATTTTGCTCATTAATGATGAGGAACTTCGATTGAGGTATAATAATTTGATACATTGCATTCTGGAGAGTGGGAAATGGATGAAGGTGGAAATAATTATAATTTTCATTCTCAAAAATTGGGACTTCTAAAATGAAAACAATTTGATTGCCGTTTGATCACTTGATATATATTACTTTCTCATGGATAAAAATATTTTCTACAGTAGCATCGAAAAGTAATTCATTTCTTTTTAGAACAGGGTTGATCAGTGTTATTTCATTCAAGAGTTCAATTGCTTCTACCATTGAGTTATGGAATGTGTTCAATTTTGAAAACGTTATGGCAATTCCCAGTATTTCAAGTATATGGTACATTTCCTGAAGAGCCAAAATAATTTGTGATACCTAAGTGAGGAATAAAAAGTGATTGTGAGAATTTGTACATTGAATCTTTGTGTCATTCAAGACTTCTTGTATCTTTATGATTTTGGTTTGAAAAAATTTCTGATTGAATCAAATTGCCTGTTATTGATTTGATTATCGTTCCTGATTCTTCTAGTCCACGTTCAGTTCTGGTTATATCATCATTTGAAATAGGGTTCGATCGGTAAATTTGGTTCGATATTGCCTTTTGTAGTGAAAATGCCGAGTAATATTACTTATAGAATTCTTTTTTGTCAGTTTTTGAAGTGAAATTTCTCTCAATTGCATCTTTGATTACCTGAAACTTTGATCTAAGAAATCTAAATTCTTCAACTACGTTACTGATATTATATACAGTGTCATTCTTAAAGTCTGCATCATATAGGAAAAACTTTTATTAATGACTAATTTTGAAATTCGAGTTGGACGTTAAGTTTTGCTTCAGAAAAGATGGAAAATGGCCTACTCAATCGGGGTCACGTGACTTTCGCTACATGTCAAAAGTGAAATTTTTTCAAATTAATCGCTGAAAGTAAGATTTATTTGTTCGAATATCGAGAAAGTTCACTTGAAAAAGTTGTTTCTATTCGAATTTTACATATGTGACTCGGATTTTATCTTTCTATTACATTTTTTAGATTTCGATATTTTTTAAGAATTTTCGAAATTTCTATAATATTAAAAAAATTGTAAATTCGATAAAGCTACTTCATACCAGTAGCTTCATCATGCTACTAACATTCAATCACTAATTATCACTAATTATCGACAAAAATATGATTTTCTTCAGAAAATGATAATCTCTGCTTCAAAATTCTGTTATGTTTGATGCAAACATAACATCAAAATTCTGTCATGTTTTTAGATACGAAATTTATTTGAATAAATTTTTTCAGTACTGAAAAAATCAGTTCAAATGATCTTCGTTTCTAAATACTTGATGATATATCAACTTTGCATCAACCATAACAGAATTTGGAAGCGGATATTATCATTTTCTGAAGAAAATCATATTTCTGTCCATAATCAGTGATAATAAGTAATTGAGAGTAAGTAGCATGAAAAAGCTTCTGGTATGAAGTAGTTTCGTGGAATTAACAATTCTTCAAATATTACAGAAATTTCTCAGAATTAAAAAAAAATCAAAATCTAAAAGTTGCAATAGAAAGATCAAATTCGAGAAGCATGTGTAAAATCGAAATAGAAACAACGTTTTCAAGTAAACTTTTTCGATATTCGAAGAAATAAGCGTACTTTCAGCGATTAATTTGAAAAAATGTCACTTTTGACATGTAGCGAAAGTCACGTGACCCCGATTGAGTAGGCCATTTTTCATCCTCTTTGAAGCAAAACTTAACGTTCAACTCGAATTCCAAAATGAGTGATTAATTAAAGTTTTTTCCATGATGCCGACTTTATGAATGACACTGTATATGTATGAAAGACAATATAGCCGACTTTATTTCTAGCGTTTCCTAGTATTAATGTCAATATTCCGGGATTGTCAGCAAGGTCATGAAGTGTCGGGTAGGTCAATTCTCCGTTTATGTAGAAGTCTATGACGTAGAGGCACGTGGCGAATCTGCAACAATACGATAGGAGGCTCTTTTAATTCCTTGGTATGAATGATTTTATTTCTCTTGCTATGCTTACTAAGGATTTCTACTCAACTTCTGTCTACTAGCGTCTGCGGACGGCCGCAAGTAATAACTCCGTGGTACTCGTGGTAGGGGAACGTTAGTTAACTTGTGTCGAGTCTAATATAAGGAAGGAATTTTTTTTTAACAATCAATCGACCTAGATGAACCTTTTTTCTTGAAGAAGGAGAATTTTTCTTGAGGAAGGAAAATATTGTTTCTGCATAAAAAATGAGAAAACCTAACCTATCTATTTTATGAGTATATCTGTACTTGTTTCGTTGACCTGTGTAAAACTTGATGTTTATTAAAACCAAATAAAATATTCTAGAAGGAGAATTTTTCTTGAGGAAGGAAAATATTGTTCCTGCATAAAAAATGAGAAAACCTAACCTATCTATTTTATGAGTATATCTGTACTTGTTTCGTTGACCTGTGTAAAACTTAATGCTTATTAACACCAAATAAAATATTCTATTCTATTCTAACCTAACCTAACCGATCCTCACCTCTGGCCTAAACATAGAAAACCCCTTAATGAACCTATTTCCCATAGAGAATATTTTATAGAAATCACTTGAGAACAAGAAAAAAATGAAAAAAAAGATGAGCCTCGCACGGATTCGAACCCCGGCCCGACAGCTTGGCATGCCGATGCTCTGCTTACTGAGCCAACCAGTTGCATACGAGACGAAGTATGATGAAGTCATTCAGTCGGCGCCGCATAACGCCAGTCGCATCTACTGCCCACTATAACGTTCTCCCACCACGGAGTTATTACTTGCGGCCGTCCCGCAGACGCTAATGTATGACATTACATGGCGCAGTCGGTTGTTATTGCGAGTTAAACAATTGCTCGCAGTCTGATGGAGACGCCCTGATAGTGACTCTAGCCTATATTCCTATATATCTCCTCCTACTTTGCATAAAAAATAGTTTCCTCAATATTGCTTCCATCTAATTCTGGACTCGGATGTCATGCAGCTCTGCCTCCGTGGTGACGTAAGTTATTGTAGCCCTGAAAATTCAGGGGTCTTCTGACCCGAAACCACAATTGTGCTGTTGGCTTCCGTTTGTTGACTCCGTCGATTTATTGTTTCGTCTTCCACCAAGTGTTGCCTATCTTTTTTTACTTTTCACCGCACCGGACTGATAAGGGACGAAAGCCAAAACACGTGTCTGCGGTTAACTGCTTTCTGAGGGCTATGTCCAATAATCTCTTCCTAGTTTGCTCAAGTATTACAGTCAGTTCAGAACAAAATGATAACTTTTATTGAGCATTCGAGCCATGTCAATACTAGTCCAGGAGAACTGAACACTGAAAATAACTACCCAACAAAACAAAGCTGATTTTCATTTAAAATGAACAAAACAGCCATGCTGCTGCACGCATCTCTAGTACTGCTGCGATCCTTTCGTGAAAAATACACGTCCGTATCATGATTACCAACGGAAAGCACGACTGACATTCATGTTCATTTCATTGTTTATGTAGGTTGTGTTGGCAGTAGTGCCTATCAAAACAAAACAAATACCGGCTGATTTGGTAAATAAACAGCCGTCAAAACGTCAATGTCGAATATCAAAATCAAAATCATAGCTTAAATTTTATTGAAGTCCACGTTGATCAAACAAACTTAAAACGCAGTTTCTATAAAGTTCATGTTATATTTGTTAGGCTGGTTATAGGTTTTCGGTATTGCGTTTGATTGTGGAGTTTGAAAGCATGGCAAATTCCTTTGATAAGTTGAAGGAATTAAACTTGTCTTGTGATGAAATAGAACGTATTGGTGATGCTTTGAAAAAACCGGAATTTAGAAAATTGTTGTCTGAATACTTCAAAGAAGTCCAAGACCCTAACAATAGGAAGCTTTATGAAGAAGAACTGACTGAATTGGAGAAAGAAAGAGGAAATGACATAACTTTTATACATCCAAAGCCAGGTTATGTCATAAAAACCAGTGTGAATGGCAGTCAGAAAGCATTCATTAATATTTCTATTAATGAACATGTAACAAAACCGACTTCTTCACCTGCAGTGCAGCATGGAGAAAGAGGACTCCATTGGTCTTTGCCCTATTCTTTGTCACAACCAAGAGAAGATTTTGATAAAAATCGAGTACCATGCATGGTTTATGATGTTGTGTTTCACCCAGATACTATACACTTAGCAAAAAATAATAATGCATTTCATGACACTGTCAACAACACTGCACTGGATGCTATTGAATCTAGCTTTGGTGTGATATTGGATAAAAAAAATCTCAAGTTTCCCAAATTAGCCTATAAGGGTGTTCCAAATGCTAGTGTCATCCGAAAACCTTCAAAGCAGAAACCAGAACATACCCCAGAAGAGAAAGCATTTTTTGATGAACTCTTTGCAAAAGCCCCATCGAATATCCCTTTTCCTGTGAAAAAGGACAAGAAACCTAAACAGGATGATAAGTCTGATTATACCAGACCCAATTTTGTAATCAAACAGAGGAATTATGTTGATATGCAAGAATGTGTAGATCACAAAGAAGCAAAGCTCAATTCAACAATACCACATGAGCTCATAGTAGAAATTCAATTGCCTCTTTTGAAGTCATCAAAAAATGTGAAATTAGATGTTGCAGAAAAAACAATACAGCTCATCTGTGAATCACCTGTCAAGTATAAATTAAATTTAACTCTACCTTATTCTGTGAATGAATCTTCTGGTAATGCTGAATTTCGTAAAGATCATAAAAAAATGGTGATAACTCTCCCAGTGAAACGCTCAGTTCAACACAATGTCAGTGATAGTAGTGTAAGGAAGTGTGAAGAAGTGTCTAAACAATTTTCTGAAGTGAAAAGTCCCGTTAGAATTGAAGAATTTGAAAAGTTGTCTTTGATAGAAACCAGTGAAAAGAGTATTGACAATTCATCAGAGTTCAGGACTAAGTTTCTTGATGAAAATCTCCACTATGATATCCCGGAATTTTCTTGTCATGTTTTCAATAACATTATAGCATTCACATTGAATGTGAAGAATGTAGATGAAAAATCCATAGACAAAGTAGTTTTCAATGATGATACTTCCTTTCATGTTAAATTCACCAGCATCAGTTCAAGTTTCTATCCAAGTCATTTTGCCTTTTGTGTGAAACTTCCATCATACAAAATCAACAAAGAAGATCTGTCTGTGGAAGTGTGGGATAACAATGTGATCTTACAAGTACCTGTCCATTCTACATTGAGCCCAATTGATAAAGGTAAGTTTGTAAATTTGAGGAATGAATATCAAAGAGTATTTCTCATTTCTACAACTACTACAGTTAACAGCTATCCAGGAGGTTATTGAATGTTATTGATAAGTTGAAATTTATCAATGAGTTCAAACCTACAAATAGATAAATCCACGAAAAATCCGAGGATAAATCCAACAATAACCTTGTATCAAATGTAAAAAACTTCATAAACTTCAAGATTTCCATGAAATTCCAGCTTTTTACCTTCAGTATGGGTCACTGGGTTATCTTCCTTTTCTATAATTTTAATATTATTCCACTCTACCATATGTTTTCCATTTTCAGTAAGGATTTGTTCAGTTAGCTTTGATTTAGTGGTATATGTGTTTTCTTGATATTGTACTTGTGTTCTTTCATCCCGAGTTTCATCCTTTCTTATCACCAACATGTTTTATTTTTTCAGATGTGCCTGGAATGTACGGTACTTATTATATTCCCAGACACAATACGTTTTGTCTCTTCCTCATTTTGAGAAACTGAACATAAATCTATATTTGAAGGAGACTGTGGAGCAGGCGGCATGGGTATCAGCGATATTACCTCAGTTTCAATTTCAGTTTCTTCCTGATGTTGAATTTCTGACACTGTGAAGCTTCCGTTAATAACTTTTTTGTTTTTTTTCTCGATTTTTTTCGGCTCCTCCCTTTGTAGTGACATTTCTTATTATTATCAATATTTATTTTATGTTTTCCCTGATAGATTTTTCAATGTATTTCAGCGATCTATGACCTACGATTGTTAGTGTATAGGAGCTTATATGCAACTGAACTACTGAAGAAGTTGTGACTTGTGAAACTGCAGTGTTGCCAGAGCGATCTACTGAAATATCTCAGATGAAGAAAGTTCTTCATCTGAGTGAAATATCGCCATGTTACAACATTTGCAATTAGGTTTTCCATGGCATTCCATTAACCATCCCTCAAATAATGGCTCATCCAACCATTTAACTGAAAAACTTCGTTTTTTGGGGAGTCTCAATTTCGTCAGAACTACTGCTACTAGTATTTTTTGTTGTTTCATCTTAAAGAAAATTTTTAAAAATAAATACCAATAATATCAAATAAACTGAGCAAATAACTTACCAGTCCTAGAAGTTGACGCAAGACTAAAGTGTTTGCTTATTTCACTCATATTAACCAAGGAAATATCGGAAATTGAAATAAAATATACAAATTCAACTCAATTCACATAACATCATGCGTCACTGGCCTCACACACAAGTAGTGAAACAAAGTAAATTAATAAATTGACAAATTTTACTATCACAATCAATAAAATTAATCAAATCAAAAACGTGCTGAACGTTGGCTAGTCGACTAAAATTGCCCAACGCGCTACGCCGCTACGCGCTCCAGCCGCTATGTAAAGCATGACAGGGGTGACGGGAATTCCCCGAGATTTCGCACGCGACGGTGCCATATTTAGTTGATGTTCTAAAAGTCGCCAAAAACTATCACTTTTTGAAAAATCGCCGCCAGGCTCGAAACATCGTAAAAATTAGTCATTTTGGCGACAAGTCGCCACAAATGGCAACACTGTGTGAAAGTTGTGAATCCCCGGAAGGCGCGCGACAACCGAGAGGTCGGGGAATCCCCCGACTTCTCGCGCGCCTTCAATTCCCCGATCGCTTCCCAGTCTAGGCGCCGTGGCTGGGCTCACGTCCAGCGTAAAAATATCTATTACAATTGAGAATCTGCCTATTTGGATTTAGATTATGCGACTAATCTGTGATGAAAGCGATATTCGTATAGAATCAGTGCCTGACAAAATTATCTACCGCGGCCCCCTGGCCCCGGTTTGACGCCGGCCCACCGGGCCAGTCCGGGCCTGGCCTAGACTACAATATTGATCATGACATGATATTTTCCATATCATTTTCCAGAGATATATAGATAGATGGATGGATAGTTTATTTATTTCTACAGAGTACAAGGTTTGAGGAAAACGTCAAATACCGAGTACTCAAAAAATATAGATACAAGCAAAAAAAAATACAGTCAAGAAAAAATATGTTGAAATACTCAAACAGTATACAAATACATGTAGGTATCATCTCGAGGATCATTAATGATAATAAATATCCAAGAAAAATAATAAATACATTAATTGAAGTCTTTTTGTGATTTTCTCACATACAGTTTACCTCATTTTCACCTCAGAAATCGATAAAAAATTGAAAAGAATAGGAAGAAATATATGTGCTTTCAACAAGATTATGGATGATCTATCTCATTACATCCATCCTATGTCAACATGTATGTATTTGGTTAAAAAATCAGATAGTAACATTGCCTAGTTTATGTATATTTCAAACCATTAAGAAAACAATTTAAAGACAAATGAGGACTTGCACGGGTATAACATACGTGTGAAAGAAAATATTTATCAGATAGATAGATAGATAGATAAGCTTTATTGTCTAAAATGAGCACATTTTGTCGACAAAGTCAGTATCTTGCGATACATCGATTGCAAGATTATAAATAAATACAACAGTACAGGAATATATAAAAATAATACAGAACTAAAATATATAAAATAAAATAACATAGACAAGTTTCATTATTATTACAAACAACAATTATCTTTAAAATCAATAATATGAATCTCTAATTATTCTCACATATCATAGAAATACTAGAATTTGTAGGCAAAGTATTCATCCAAACTGTACAAGCCTTTTCCCACTAACATATCTTTGACAGATCTAACACGGAATTGTTTCAAATCATTGATCATAGTTGTACATTCTGGTAAATGATTGTAAATCTTTTTACTCCAATAAATTAAGTATTGTCTCGTTAAAGATGAACTAGGCAGAGAAAGAGCAAGGTTCCTTTTATTACGCGTAATCTTGTCTATGTTTGCGTTCATGAAATTTCTTCTATATTTGTGAAGCAAACAGACTGTTTCTAAAACGAAAATTTCAAAGACCGTCAATATCTTATATTTGTGAAACATTGGCCTGCATGAGTCACGCGGCTTGAGTTTGAATACAAATCTCAGAGCTCGTTTTTGAAGGACGAAAATACTATTTAAGAGACCATGACAGCTACACCCCCAGAATGAAATTCCATACCGTAGATGCGATTCAATAAGTGAGTAGTATGCTGATATTGAAGCTTGCAATCCAAGTTCACGGGATATCACATTGACTGCGAAGCAGGCAGCTGATATTTTTTTCTTAAGAGCTGATATATGATGGTCAAACTTCAAATTGCTATCTATGTGAACACCAAGAAATTTCATGACAGACTTGCTCTCAATGAGTTGATCTCCTAGAGCAATTTGTTCAATCTCTGACTTGAATGTCACTAAATTTGTTTTAGAAACTTTCAGAGTTAGCATATTAGCTTCACACCAAATTTTTATTTTTTCAACGTCCACTGAAATAGACTGAGCCAGACTAGCTCGATCTTCGTTATGCCAGAGAATCGTGGTATCATCTGCAAATAAAGTTATTATCGACTTCAAATTTGCTAGAATTCACCCAACTATATAGGAGTTAAGTTTTACAATAAGCTCAAATGTATCTGTGATAAAGAATATATCAATAATAATTGTAACTGTAATATATCCTTCAGAAACAAACTTGAACATTTATTAACGGAACATATTTTTCATAATGTAGCGGAATTTCTCAATTTTTAAAACTTAGGTTTTTCAAAACTTCATACTTTTAAAATTCAAAATGTATTTTTAATAATGATTTTGAAGTTTATTCATGCCCCATGTTTTTTTTTGACTTGTCCGATAAATATGCATCTGTTTTTGATCTGTATTGATTTAATTCATTTGTATGTTTTCATGATCAATAAACACTCTGATTCTGATTCTACATCGGTATTATGGACTTGGTCCACTTCAGGTTTGAATCCCTCAACTATCAATTGACGTAATGATTATGTAATTTTTGTTTGTCATTAATGAACTGACTTTGAATTGAAAATTATTTGCTTTGCAGGTAATAAATTAACATCTTATTTCTATGGCTTGAACAGCGATAGCTTGACAGAAAAGTATGTGGAAGAACCAGAATTCATCAACCACATACTACAAGGAGAACAAGAAAAATATGATAATCCTTGCGAAACACAGCCACTAGAGTCGTATAAAGAGTCAACCAAAAGAAAAAAAGAAAGCACCCCGAAACCAAACAGAAAGAATCAAGATAACCCACCACAGTCATATAAAGAGCCAACCGAAAGGAAACAAGAAAACACCCCGAAACTAAACAAAAACAATCCTGATCCCGTCAAAACCGACGCGATTGAAGAATCTCGAATAACAAAGGCCATCAATATAATGGGTGCTCCCTCCGGAAATTCCTACGAGTCCAGCAGCGATGAATTGTCTTGCAGCAGCTTCAGTCCTCGGAAAAGAAGCATCCTCAAGCGGATGCCGTCGCAGAGAACGAGCGTTCGTCGGTGCGTGTCCGAGTCCGGGTTGGACGATTACGTGGCATCCTCCTTGGAGAATTGCCTGTCCAGTCTGGATTCGGTGATACCGGAAGACGGGGAGATTTCCTGCAGCCTCAAGAAGACCGTGAGGTTCAACGATGTCGTTATGCGGCAACTGTTCAGGTAAACATACAGATCGTTTGCCCAATTGTTACTTAATAGGGCATGTGAATGGCAAAATAGCTAGAGAGACTGATTCATCGGCATCGTACTTCTTCGCCAGTGTTGCCAGGTCGAGAACAAGATAAGCGGTAGACATTAAGAAGCGGTAGATTTGAAAATGAAACGGTAGATATAATTTGATGATTAGAGTCTTCGCCAGTCACTAGTGGTTTACTAGTTACGTAATTGAGTAGGTTATTAACAGAAGTGAGAAAGTAAAAATTAAATAATCATCCTTCCTTTATGAGCTACCTAAAAATCATGAAGCTTCAAAAAATAACTCCGAGAAACAATCAGTGGTACAGACAGTACCAGACAGGTTCATCATTATTTTATTATTATTATTTGCTTTGACTAAACATTCCCTAAATTATGAACCTATCAAAATATACTATCGTGTTCCTAGTAATTCTGAACTTATTTTACATGGAACCTATTTTTGTACACAGTCGATTGGCCTTTTGATTCTGAATGGGCTTATATCACAAAACATTTTTATTCCATAATTCGATAGAACTCACCCATACTAGCTCACCACCGCAAACCGTTTCTTGCTGTGAGCTCCCTACGTTTTATAAAAAATTGTTGAAATTCCCGATTTTTCGGACCTCTGAAAACGATGCGATGATGTGACGTCAAAACCCTAATACTGAAACAAGATTATTCCAGACAGAGATGAATTATACATGATTTCTGACAGAGTGAATTAGCGCGAGATCACAGTTGAAAGAAATGATATATCAGTTGCCTCAGTCTTCCTTCCGGCGTTTGGTATTTTCTTTCAACTATGGCGAGATGAGGTTTCTACGTCATGAGAGGGTCCGTTTTCAGAAGGAACTATTATTCATGTCCAAAAATAAAACATTTCAGATATTTTTCGATCGAATTATGTCGTCAATCATTATTTATGTATAAAACGATCATTATAAACATGATTTGAGTAAAAAGTTCCACTAAGGTGTACACGCCCATTCAGACAACCTAATTTATGTCAACTAGTCTATCACAGCTCTCGAGATATATCGAGTTTTATGAAAATAATGAAACCGCTGTAGTTGTTCCTCAAATTCAATATTCATTTTCCAATGCAACCTTTGAAAATCGACTGCGCCCATATGGTACAAAATGGTACCACCAATAGGACATTACATTACTACGGTCGTAATTATAATACTACGGTCGTAATTATCCCGATGTGGGGCAATACTTGTCCGTAGCCTTAGAGAGGACTATGGAACAAACCAATCTACTGAGACTGAGGTATTTTATTCAATACGACAGTCTTGAATATGAAAGTTCAAGAATTACATTCCCGAACATTAAAATTGCACTGAGAATGTATTTGGTTTTGATAACATCGAATTGTACTGGAGAACGCTCATTTTCAAAAATGAAAATTATAAAAAATAGGCTTCGAACTTCGATAGGACGAAACCTCCTTTCACATAATTCTTGTTTTTGACAATATTCCTACTGGGTGTTTCCTAAGTACGGGTAAAAATTACAGGAGCATGTTGCTGACGTCAAAATGAGAAGAAAAGACCATTTAAACATATGTCCGCAAGTTATTTATTTCTGAGATACAAAATGTCAAAGGTTGATTCTTTTTCCGTTTTTTTTGTGGGTAAATTCAGGAATGAACGTGATATTAGACTGAAACTTGGTATCTCACCCGATTATCTGGATTATTTCAGAATTCATTCACTAAAAACCGAAATAACAATCCAAATTTGACACTCTGTATCTCATAATGAATAACTTGCGGACATATGTTTAAACAAACTTTTCTCCTTATTTAAACGTCAGCAACATGCTCCTGAATATTTTACACGTACTTAAGAAACACCCTGTATATGTTAAAATAATTTAGTTGGTTTCGCCATGAATTATTGACCAAGAAATTTGTTAATTTCATATGGAAAACAATTAGGAGCCAGGGGGCCTCCGCTCTTTTGTTGTCCCAGGGCCTCCAGACCTCTAAATCCGCCTCTGGCTATCCCATTGGGCTATCCGGATCTTGTTTTTGTACTATACCTTTTCAACTTCAATTTCGGAATCGGTGAGTTATATTTCGGAAAAAGCAATCTCGATTTCATAATTGGTTAGTTCGATTTCAGAAATGGTAAACTCAATTTCAGAATCGGTGAGATGAATTTCAGAAAAAGTCCATTCAATTTCAGAAATGGTAAGTTGTATTTCAGAATTATTATTGGTAGGTTCAATTTCAGAAGATGAAATCCTTTTATATGCTTGAAATGTTTTTAATTGCAAAAGAGAAGATTGTTTACAGTGGATGAACGGTGTTTGAGAGCCCTATGTTGAATCAGATTGAACATATATGGGGTGCCTTCAAGTCAGAAGTGAAGAGCTTCTTGCAAGAGCATCGCCAAAGGGCAATAGCTGGGGATCCGAACAGCTTGCTCAACCAGATAGAATTCAGACTGCGATGTCTTGAGGAATGTGCAGATCATTCAATGAAAATGATAGCACCTCAAATGTGTTTGCATTCTCACAATCATGTGCAACGCTATTATCTTATAGCGATTCGGATGGAAGGCATCTGTGCATTAAATTGAGATTATAATTATGTTATTGAATTGTTTTTGACAAGTTGAATATTGTAAATATGGTTTGTTAATCTCACATACAATTGGAAACATTTCGAACAAATATAAGGATTTTTTTTTTCTGAAATTGAACCTACCAATTCTGAAATACAACTTACCATTTCTGAAATTGAATGGACTTTTTCTGAAATTCATCTCACCGATTCTGAAATTGAGTTTACCATTTCTGAAATCGAACTAACCAATTCTGAAATCGAGATTACTTTTTCCGAAATTGAAGTTGAAAAGGTATAGATGAGTGTTAATTGTATTGACGTACTAAATGTGTATGAGATGTGCTAAAAATGTACAATAGGTACAATAATAGTACTTGAAACGGCAACTCTGCCATCAGAATTCCACTTGGATTTTGGATTCCTCAGTAGCTCAAGAAACTCCTTCTTGATGAAACACCAACGACCCGCCAAACGACCCGACAAACACACCGACAAACACGCCGACAAACGCACCGCACTTCATTTTACTTGATTTTTTTGGATTTTCTCCTCGTTTCTATAAAATAAAAATATTCGTAATGTCACTGTGTTTAACAAATTTTTCTATCAGGGAGTCTAAAAGAAAATTCCACTAGCTTGTCAGTGAGAAATTGTTTGAAAAAATGTTTGAAGGAAAGAAATATAGATATATTGAAAAAATATCGAATTTTTACTTATCTTTGAACGTTTCGGGACCGAATCTGCTCGCGTTCTCAACATGTAAATGCGAAATATTTCTCTTTGAAAGTTATATAGTTTGACACTTTTCAGTGTCATACTGATGTTGGCATATGAATGAGTGATTTTAGTCTACAAATGAGTTACAGGATGTTTTAATTAATTGATCTTGAATCTACCATTTTCATGTTCAGTTTTCAGTAGTGAATACCATGTTCTATCTATATCAACTGAACAGGAAGCAATGCTATTGTCTCCGTTTAGGAGAATGCAAGCGGATTCCTTGATTTTTCTTTTTTGGTTGTTATCTTCCTTTCCCATGATTCTGATATTATTCCAGTCTGCCATATGTTGTCCATCTTCAGTAAGGGTATGTTCAGTTAGCTTCGATTTATCGATATGTCTTATCGTTTCACCTGTACTTTCCACAAACACAAAGTATACTATAAATACAATTTTTTGATGTTTGTTCTTCATTTTTTCATTTTTCGTTTTTGTTTGAGTTAGAATGGATCTCATTGTATTTTCAGTTTTGAACACAGTTTTCACTTGGAACTTATCACCAACACGTTTCATTCCTTCAGATATGCCGGGAATGTACGGTATTATATTCGTCGTTATTGATGGTTGTTTGTATTTGTGGAAAGTATTATACAGGTGAAACGAATAACCTCTCTCAGTAAGGACTGAAGAACACAAGTTTGTACAGGGTGGCCAACTAAGACTCCAGAGTTCGATTTCTCTGTTAATTGTCTTGAGAGATACAAAAAAAAAATCATGTATCAAAATTGAAGTAATAACCGAGCTTCACATTTCAAAATTTCTTTGAAATACACAGGGTGTTCCGTAAGGTCACAGCACATCAAAGCTATGTCATTTTCATTGGAACACCCTATATTTTATTTCATTTTTGAATTCTCCCTGAAGATCTGATTCCAACGATATACTTAGGGTCCAGCAGTGAAAGTTACTGACATATAGGGTATGCAAAATCGAGATTTTCCAAGTTCAGGATTTTTTTCTGTCGAAACTGTTCATTATTCGTCGAAACGGTTTACATGTCCCTATCTCAACTTTTCACCCACTATCAATTGGTGTTCAATTGAAATTGATACAAGGAGGTCAAAAAATCTAAATTTATAATTTGTTTCAATTAAATGTCAATTGAACACCAATTTATAGTGAGTGAAAAGTTGAGATAGGGACATGTAAACCGTTTTGACGAATAATGAACAATTTCGACAGAAAAAAATCCTGAACTTGGAAAATCTTGATTTTGCACACCCTATATGCCAGTAACTTTCACTGCTAGACCCTAAGTATGATACGTCGTTGAAATCAGATCTTCAGGGAGAATTCAAAAATGAAATAAAATATAGGGTGTTCCAGCGAAAAAACATAGCTTTGATGTGCTGTGACCTTACGGAACACCCTGTGTATTTCGAAGAAATTTTGAAATGTGAAGCTCGGTTATCACTTCAATTTGAATGCAAATTTTTTTTTGTATCTCTCAAGACAACAGAGGTATCGAACTCTGGATTCTTAGTTGGCCACCCTGTACAATATCAAGAAAACACATCACTAAATCAAAGCTAACTGAACATATCCTTACTGAAGATGGACAACATATGGCAGAGTGGAATAATATCAAAATCATAGGAAAGGAAGATAACAAAAATAA